AACCCAAACGACATCATTTTGTAACAATACATTCCCCATGGTGTGATGAAAATTGTTCTCCGCGTCTTCCTCATCCATCCATATCTGATGATACCCGGCAAAATAATCCACAAACGACTGCAGCTTATGCTTGGCGCAGTTGTCAATTAAAATGTGTATGTTTGGTAAGGGGAAGTCATCTTTGGGACTGGCCTGGTTGAGACCCCGGTAGTCGACGCAGACTCTAACCTTCCCATCTTTCTTCGGCACTAGCACAATGTTGGCTAATCATGTTGGATACTCTACTACCCTGAGAACCTTGGCTTTGACTTGTTTGGTAACCTCTTCCTTGATCTTCAAGCTCATGTCAGGTTTGAATTTCCTGAGCTTCTGTTTTACCGGCGGACATGTAGGATCTGTTGGCAATTTGTGAGCTACAATAGATATACTGAGACCGGTCATATCATTGACCAGGCGAATATATCCATATATTCCCTTGGAAAATCTGTGTACTCTTTCTTTTCCGATGGTGACAGGTGACCACTGATGCGCGTTTCCTTGACATTTTCTGTATCCCCCAAGTTGACAACCTCAGTTTCATCCAAATTAGACTTAAGCCTATTTTCAAAGTCCTCAACCTCTTTAACGACCTCTTCTGGTATATCATCCTCTTCTGAGTCTATGTCCGTTTGTTGCATTGTCTCGTTGCAAGTCACAATCGTTGGTTCATCATCAAGATAAGTAATAGTAATGTTGTGTAAATAAAGTAAATGATAAATAAAATAATAAGAGTGAGATATATATAAGAAAATGAAATGCTTTGATTAAACTTCATAATTGTTTTGAACATCAGAGCTCTTTTCAAGATTAAGAAAATACGGAAAGAAAATCAGCTAGTAAAAAGTAAAATATGATGTATGGTGCTTTGTTTAGCCTTGCTACCCCGAAGCTTTCCGGGCCCTGATGGTTCTGATGGACCAGTTATTGAGGCGTGCTCCTCGGCTCACAACTTGTATGGAAGGGCCTTCCTCCCCTTCCTCCTCGAAAATAACACAACAGTCCATATCATCGTCTTCCAGAAATAGATTCTTCATTGCTACCAACGCTTCCTCTTCTTTTGACCCATATATGGCATCTGCCGGTTGGAAAGTCTGCTCCAAACGAGGTATCGGATGCTCTAGTGGATAGTAGGGATCGCGCCATGGTGGCGACCAGTGGTTGAACTCTTCCCAAGTGTATTCATACCCCAAACCAAAAGTAGTACCATGTTTCTTCAGCTTGATGGGTTTGGCGATACCCTGGAGGTTTTTGCCAAGTCCCTTTCCGGGCTTATATCCACACCAATTCAGGATACTCTCAATCTTGTTATCCCACCATTTATCTTTGTCCACGGCGTTTACACGCTCGATGTGATGGTAGGTTTCTCCGCCTATTCTCCTTCTTCCTCCAATCATCGGGATGGTCTGGCGACTATATATGGGGTTGCTACCATCACCATGAATAATCACCTCTTGGTGATTCCATTTGAATTTCACTTCCTGGTGCAGGGTTGAGGCTACGGCTCCCACGGCGTGAATCCAGGGTCGCCCCAATAGCAAGTTGTAGGATGCTGGGACGTCTATCACTTGAAGGACAACGTCGAACCAAGTTGGTCCCATTTGCAGACATAAACTGATCTCCCCAATAGTGGACCTTTGGAACCCATCAAAAGCTTTGACATTGATGGCCTCATCTTTGATCTCATGCAGGCTCTTCCACAATGTTCTGAGAGTTATCAATGGACAAATATTGAGGCTGGATCCTCCGTCGATCAGAACTCTAGTGATGAAATAATCTTCGCATTGCACAGTGATGTGCAACGCCTTGTTGTGGCTCAGCCCTTCTAGTGGCAGCTCATCCTCGTGGAAAGTGATTTTATGGCTTTCCAGTACTTGCGCTACCATGTTCGCCATTTCCCCTCCAGTTATGTTGTTCGGCACATATGCCTCGCTCAGAACTTTCAATAAGGCATTTTTATTCGCGTCAGAGCTTTGCAACAAGGCTAAGATGGAGATCTAGGCTGGCGTCTTGTTCAGCTGATCGACGAACGAATACTCCTTGGCTTGTATCTTTCTCCAGAGGTCATCAGGTCCAGTTTCAGTGGCAGTGGGTCGTCCAGAGGTTTGCTTACTGGACTCAGCTAGGTGCTCTGGGGTGTAAACCCTGCCGGTTCTGGTCATACCTTGTGCCGTAATGTCTTCTACAGTTTTGCTTTTCCCTTTCCTTTTTGCTTCGGCCGCGTAATCCCAAGGAATGGCATTTGTGTGGAATGGTGCTATGGCTGACATAGGTACTGGAATGGGTATCCTTGCTTTGGAAGGCAACACGGCCACTTCAAATGGTGCTGGTATTTTCGGGGATCCGAACTCGACCTCAATTGATCCTGGTGCCTTTGTAGAAGGAGGTGCTTCGAACTCAAGTGGTATAGACATGTTTACTTCATCGTCCCAGAGGGCTGGATCTGGGCAACAATCGGATTGAGCGTGACTGTTGGTTTCTTTGGCTCGTCACCTTCATAAATCAATCCAATCGATCCTTTGGGGTCCCAATCATCTTCTATCTCGATCATGTGCACGCCTCCACCCTTGTTGTCAGGTAGAGGGTTGTTGTGAACATTAGGAGCGGGCTCCTTTGCCACGATGATCTTATTGTCAATCAAGGCTTGGATCTTATCCTTCAGTGAACGATATTCGTCGATGGTATGCCCCTTCATGTCGGAATGGTATGTGCAGGTTTTGTTTGGGTTCATCCATTGGGAAGAATATTCTGAAGTTATGGCAGGGATAGGGGTGACATAACCAGCAGCTTTAAGTCTTTCATACAGCTGGTCAATTGGTTCGGCGATGGCTGTGTATTGTTTGGGAGGTCTGCGGTCAAAATTTGATCTAGGTCTAGGGAAGTTTTGGCGAGTGGGAGGTGATTGATAGTGAGAGGGTTGAGCATTATAAGCTTGGTAGACAGGTGCGGGTTGAGAGTATCTGGTGAGGTGGGCTGATATGTGGGAGGTGGAGGTGATTGGTAAGCGGGTGGTGGAATTTGGTAGGAGGGTGAGGGTGCCTGGTAATTTGGGGTATGCTGATATGTAAGTGGAGGTAATGGGTAAGTTTGGTATTTTACCGGGGATTGGTTCTCTATGCAACCATCACGACATTCACATCCTTTTTCTTGGACGTGCCACTAGACTGTAAAGCCTTGTTGGTAGCCTGTAGTGCTTCGAGGTTGGTGACCATACCGGTTTTAATGCATTCTTACAATCCTTTCCCCTAACTTGATGATATCGGAGAATTTCTGGCCCTCGATCACCATCAACCTCTCATAATATTGTGGATCCTGGGCCCGAACGAAAAATCTATTCATCTGTTCTTCTTCTAAGGCCGGCCTGACCTTAGCAGTCTCCGATCTCCAACGAGTAGCATACTCGCGGAATGTCTCTGTAGGTTTCTTCTTCAAATTCTGGATGTTGAATACGTCTGGTGCATTCTCTGTATTGAATTTGAAC